TCCTCTCCCTCCAGGTTAGACAGAGACGAGCACACAGTGGCTGTATGGGAAAAATCAAAACATTGTTCATTACAATTAAGACACAGAGAATAAATGACCTCTGTATTTGAAGAACAGAAGGCCTGGATCTACTAAGCGTAAGTGTAGACAAAAGCAAGTGCAGTCGGCTGACCCCCAGTTGCTTTGGCGATGCGCTTGAGGTCCCTCTTGAGCACCCTCCTCACAGCCAAGGCTCCTACATCTACAAAGTATTTCAGACACATGTCATCTATGCCTCCTGTGGTCAGAATCACATTTGCCCCCGACGCCAGGATCTTCTGAATGCGCTCCTTTGTGATGTCTGACTCCCTGAGAAACAAATCCAGAAAGATCATCAATACTGATGATGATCAAAACTATACTGCATACAAACAGCAAAGAAAAAATGTAAAGGCCTAATAAGTTATATAAGGCAAGTTTTAAATAACATAGGTAAACAAGTTAAAGTGTTAGTTGAAAAAAAAAAAGATTAAAAAAAAAAAAAAGTGTTAACCTTCTGAAAATTCTAACGTCAATGTCAGGAAGTAAAAATAAATTATACAAGTGTTTCCATTTATTTCATATAAAGCTCTGATGCAAACACGTAACAGGTTCGCATCAGTGCTAAATACAGACGTAAAAAGGGTCCAAAAGGTTTGTACTCAAATTACTAAAACCACACAGAGAACGCTTACTCTCACATTTCACATACTGTATAGCAGTGGAAAAACAGTAGTTTATTTTGTATTTTTTAATTAGAATTAGTTTGATGTAGTGATTTATAATGCATCTATATAATTTTAATTCATTTTTATTTAAAATTTTAGTTCGTTTAAATTATGCAAAAAGAAAACGGGTAATTCAGCTATGGCATCTAAATGAAAATTTTTCTTTAAAATTAACAGAATTTATGGTTTTAGTTTTAGCTAATTATAATAATCCTAAAGCTGTCACTAAGGCTGCAATATTTGGTCAAAAAACATATTACAATTTAAAATAACGGATTTTAAATGTTATTTTTGCAATGTCAAAGCTGAATTTTCAGCATCATTTCTCCAGTCTTCAGTGTCACATGATCTTCAGAAATCATAATAATATGCTGATTTGATGCTCAAGAAACATTTCTGATTATTATCAGTAGGGCTGTGCATCACCAACAAAGTCACGATACGATACGTATCACGATACAGAGGCCACGATACCATACGGTACTGCACTGAATTTCACCTCTGCAGAATTTAGAAAAACAGCTGTTTATGAAACACTGCACACTATAGGGCTGTTGCTAACTATTGGCAGAGCAGGCAGCTGACCTCTGCATTATGAAGGGCCTCCATAACACACACTCACTCACTCACTCACTCACTCTCTCACTCACTCACTCACTCACTCTCTCACTCACTCACTCACTCACTCACTCGGGGTAACATTCATAATAACCGACAAACTAGAACACAAGAGACAGGAACAGCTATAGGGCAGTTAACGAGGGACAGACAGGTGAGCACAATGAGGTGATTAACTAATAATTAGACTGATTGTTTGCATCTTGTTTTTAAGCCCATAAATAATGTACTCGTTTTAATAAATTTATATTGTAATGTACTCATTCTAATATATATATATATATATATATAAAAAAAAAAATTACATTGCTGGTAGGTCATCATTGCACAAATTAACACACTCTCTACATTTAAAAAAATAATAATTAGAAGAGTTCTAAACTAATGCGCTGTTTTCTGTATCTAACGCACACACATGCTCAGTCACTCACACAGATCACGTTGCGGCCGCACTCAGACATTCAGGAACAAACATTTTAGCGCTGCCCCGCAGTTTTATCAACTAAATAGCTTAATCGCTCAAGAGCTACATTATCTTTCTCAACAAGGAGCTGGTAGCATCATTGTTTCTAAAGGAATTAAAGCCACAGCTTTACT